TTTTTGTCCTCTCTGCACAGCACACTTAAGAGTTCTGATTCTGTGGTATTTTTATGCAATTAGAACATTCTGTCCCTAGATCTATAAATAAAAGAATTTGAATACTACAATTTGTAATAAATTTCTTAATATTTTAATAGGCCAAGATAAATTAATTGAATACTTTATGATTCTTCAACTGGATGTATTTTTCTCAATTGTTATGAAGTGAACAATAGAAATTTTTGTCAATATTATCTTTTATTAACCATTTTTCCTGGGGGTAAATGCAAGGTACCCTTGTTGAAAATGCATTGGGCATGCTCAAAATTTACACCTTCATACAATTTTTCTTAATGTCTAAAAATAACCTGCTTAAGTTTATAAAGGGTCCTTAAAAATATAAATGGGATACAAACTTGAGTTAAAAATTCAGGTATTATTTCACATAAATTTGAAGGGAAAAAATCTTCCTGTGTTTGTACATTAGTACAAAATAAATTTTCAAGATTTTAGTCATGTTTAAAATAAACAAAGATATTCATTCTAAATCCAATGCAGGCCCCGGTCTGTTCTCAGTTTATGGTTCTAGGCATGGACTTTGATATATATTTCATAAATCCTTAGAAGTTTTAGGGTATCATAAGTAGAAATTACAATGTAAAAGACTGTTTAATGATAAAAACAGTCAGTGTACTTCACTAGTACACACAAACTTCAGGGGTTAAGGAAAATGTTCACATATTGTTGTACAAATAAATTGCATTCAACAGTTCAGATTGCTAGGTTTGAAGAACAAACATAAGTCTTCCTCAGCATTGCATATTCCAAGAGGAATCAGAAATCAATTCTGTATTGATATCGTAGATGTCAATCCAAAGATACCCATGAAAAGATACAAGATGTTCAAAAAATAAAGACAAGGTTCAGGTATACAGAAAGTTTAATGATGTTGTACATTTCATATATAAGTAATAATAAAATCGTTTATGTCAAATTCAAAAAAAAAGTATTATTTTTCTTCTATCAAATTTCCCCAGGCAGTGATATACATTTATAGGGTCAGATGTTTGAATATTTAATTTTTATCAGTTGTTTCTCATTGTATGATCACTTCACTGTATAAATCATTTACTTATATCAGTATGACATATATTTTTGGGAATTTCATCTACATATATGACAGTGCAACACATTTCATGTTATTCATCACCTTTATGAACTATACCCTTGCTTATGCAATTCAGCACATTGTGGATACCATAAGATTACATAACAAACATGTATTATGCTAATGGAGTTCATTAGATAAGTGAAAAGTCTGCTTCTCCTGAAATCAGTGAAGTCAATGAAAGTCAATCACTCATCTTTAAATCTAACATACGTGTAACATGCATAAGGTCAACACATGCACATAGTCAATCACTGACACACCAAACTTTGATGCTACACCTTTATTCCCAAATTGTGCCTTAGCCTAATCAGTGTTGATATACAATTATGGACTATTTACACAAAAATACCTAAAGTGACCGAGACAATTCTTTTGTCATTTGTATTGCCCCTTTTTTTCTACATACAGTTGCATTGTTTTGATGTCAAAAAATCTAATAAATTTTCAATAATGTTTCATGTTGGTATAAATAATACACACATCACTGACATATACATTTTTTTTACTGTTTTCTTCATGGCAAGTTGGCCTTGTTTTTCTCCTGCTGCTATGTTGAGTTGTAGACGATTACTTAGTCTGTTCTGTAGGTTCTCTCTGTTTTTGTTGTAGTTCTAAAACATGGTAAAATTAATCTAAAGATTCCTTAAAATGAAAAATAAAATTCTAAAGATCTATGCATATAACACAAATAAATTAAAGTAAAATATAACATTATCTAAAATGTGCTTTCTGATTAAATTAGAAAGAGATTTTAGAAGTATTGATATACTTCAAATATTACTTCAAGTATTGATTTACTTGGTATTTAACTGCATAAAAAACATCGATGTCAAGAATAAGTGGCTTAAGAGATTTTGACGCATTGTGGAAACAGTTACTTTTCTTTTGCAATTCCCTTTCTCCATGATCATTTGTACATTTCATAACTAACTGGAAAACTAGGGTGTTGATGTTCCTTTTGTATATACATACATGTAGCCTGTTGACAATTTATTTGGACATTCTGTTATGACACACGGGTGAAGATTTTTTTTTATGTCTCCTTGTGTGCTCCATCACTGATCCTGAACATGCAATATTTTATTATAAATAATGCATTTGACTTGGAATTTTTTAAATGCTTTTAAAATTTTGATCTCATAAACAAATTTGTTGTTAACTATCCTCAGCAATTTCACCAAGACTAAATATCAATCGATAAGGTATAGTACAGAAATGACTATTCATCTGTGATTTTACTATGTCGAGTTTTCATGGTATAATGATATCTTCACTTGAATAAAAACATTCTGGCTTTGTAACTAAGTTTCTTTATAACAGATACTTTTCTCAACATAATATCAGTAAACTTACCACTCTTCTCGATAATTCCAAAAAAGCCTTTCTTGATGACTGTGACCCATCTGGGGGCATGGGGTATACAGTCAGTATTTCATGGCCCATAAATGCTACAATTAATTTAGATTCCTAAAGCTATATACAATCACAAAATGTTTCAAAGATAAAGCATTGTAAAATTACCCACAAAAATGTTTGCAGCATTCTCATTTAATATCGAGAATTATATTCAGTTCACCGAGATTTATAGCTTTGAACGGTTGAGTCATCGTCTGAGCACGTTTGTAAATCACTATTGTACGTCATATAACATAATCTAAACATTGCTCTCTTAAATTGCCAATTATATTATCACTAACTTTGACATTAATATACCCGAATATCTTATTTTTTAACAGACAGTTGTGTTTCGGTCTTCCATGACATGCCTTTATCAGCTGTTTATGCAACGTAAACACTTGCTTTTCCGTGTTTTGGACTTAGAAAATGAATAAATCTCACCTTGTGTATTCTTTCCGGGTACCTCGTATAATTATTACATCTATCCCATGCATAGGACCTCACAATTTTTCGTTGCACAGCGGATATGTTGCATTAAACGATGTCATCTCGCACCTCCGACATCTGTGTGTTGTCGGAGGTAATGGCGGACAAAGTTTCCGCGATTCTGATTGGCTGTGCGGAGATGGCAACTGCGTCACCCGTGACGACGTGGAAGCGTGAATTTTTCTTGCTTTTGGGCAGCAAAGCTTCACTTTTCAGTTCATTTTATACTCTATGGATCCTCTAAATTGTTGTATTATACTCAGGTGACCGTTAAGGCTCTTGGGCCTCTTGTTTGTTTCTGTTTTTGTTTTGTTTTTATGCATTTGAGTCCATCTAGATAACTTATGAAGTCTGAGCAGTATGCAGTTCTATACCAAAAAGTGGACCAAATACCACAACGCTTAAAATAGATCATTTTAGCCCTGCTTCTCCGAATAAGATTCTACTATTTTATTCCAATGATTTATTATTACCAAAATCTAGACCCTTCAAAGAGAAGGCAGGCTTTCAATAAGATAACAAAGCGGTACTTGTTTTTTGTCTCAAATGAATTTTAAAATTTTCTATACTGAAAACTGTTGGAGGTGACAACCCGACTACATTAATGTACCTTTTAAACCTAAGTTGCATTTAATTAAGTTCAGCAACTGGTATTTTTCGCGTAAATTATCATTTTCCCCTTCAAAAACCTCATTTTTAATGGAAAAACTGATTAAAAAGGAGTATGGCTTAGCTGATATCTAGGGGATAGATTTCAATATATACATTTAGCATATCATAAATATTGTCGATATAATGTAGTATTCATTTACCAAATAGGTGCCATATACTTTAGATCTGTGTATTATAGTAAAATAGTAAATAATTGAAAATGATTTAAAGACAAGAGATAAAAATAACGGGTGCTTAGATTTTATATATTTTACAATAACTTTCCATTTTTAAAGTGCAGGCTTTTTTTACAAAGGTGAATGATGCTTAAGTTTCTGATTGACAATATCTATGTAGTTTTTTGGAAATCAGGTCTTCCTACAATCTGTTGGAATTTCCATGGGTACCAATTGCAGACTGTAATAAGCAGACCTAATTTTGTATTCATATGAAGCAGAATTTATTCAAAATCTTTTACAAGAGAAGAAGAAAACACTTGCTCTGGCCTTCTACTCTGCATTTTTATATCGAAGACGTATTATCGACAAACAATATTAATAGTCATTTCCATTCATATATCGACTCGATATATCCCAGTGACCTTGAAATAAAAGGTACCACGGAGTCTGATATTCTGTTTTTATATTTTGAGATTTTATTAGAAAAATATGCTAATGGTAACCTAACAACAAAGCTTTATGATAAACGTGATGGCTTCAACTTTTCAATCGTCAACTCCCCTTACTTATGTAGTAATATACCCTTATTACCTGCATATGGGGTTCATGTCTCTCAGTTGATTCGACACGCAAGAGCAAACTCTACAAACGAACAATTTCTAAAACAAGGAAAGCAATTGACAAACAAGTTGATACACTCTAAAACAAGAATATCAACAGTTAGGTTTAAAGTCATCATTTTGCAAGTTCTATGATCGATAAAATGACCTCGTCAGAAAATACAATTCATCAGTAAGTCATTTGTTGATTGACATTTTCATACTAATTGTTAGACCATTATTTACACACTGAATCGTCTATGGATGTTTCCGTTTTTCCCTATCAGGATAAGCATACGGCTGATGCCAGCTCAAGTTTGCAGTAACTTGACATAATATACTATAATTACGTCATACAGGTAGTTCAGAAAAGTAACTACTGCAAATGTACTGTGATAGTTTACGGACAGCCTAATTCTAGACGCGTAGGATATATTTTTTAAAGCAATGATAATAGATCTGAGATATCATTAATTTTCAAGGGGTTTAATTTTAATGTCTTCGTTGTATTCTAATCCATTTATCCACGAAGTGTTAAAATTCCATACTACTGCTGTATGATGACTCTCCTTTAACCACAAAATCAAGTCAGTATTGTTCTCAAACCATGAAAATTTGCCCCACCGAAAACAAATGATTTGACGCTTATTGCTAAGAGAACGATAGAAAAGTCTGGAAAAAATTTGTTTTATTTTCCCGCAATTGAAAAGTAAATGTTTTTTGTGTTTAGAACTGCTTACATTAAGGTAAGTATACCTGAAGCAGATGACAGCATTGTAGACGTTGATTTCTCTGTTGGTGATGGGGATGGTTGTTCAATAGTTGGAGACCCAGCTGCGTCAAAGATTATGTATATAACAATTTCTTGTACTAGGAAAAACTTATCAATAAAATACAGGGTAAAAAATAAAGAAAATTCTTTAATAATTTTCAGATGTAATGAATTGTTGCTGAGGCTTATTCTCCCCCTTCTGATGCATTTTACCTTCACATCCAATGGAGAAATTACAAAACTTCTGTTCACAATTACATGACTTCTGACATGAATACCCATAGGATGGATAGCGACATGAGATGTTACAGTAGAGACCAATAAAACCAATGTCACAATCTAGAAGTAGATGTAGCCATGTTAAAAAAAGAAAATTTTAGCATTGCACGCTGACAAGAACATAATGAATATCCTACATAATTTTATTTATAACGTTTACAATTGCAATCATATTCAGAGCATTGAAATAATCATGGATACATGAGCAAAAAGCAGTATAAAATACAATTTTGTCGATGTCCACAAGTCAAGGGAAATATGCCCATACAATATTCGCAAATATACATTACGTATGTTAGCAAATAGTTTTGAGCTGTATACTTGTAGTTGATGACAACATTGTTTTTGTTGATTTCTTGGTTGTTGATGGGGATGGTGGTTCAAAAGTCGGTGATCCAACTGCATGAAAGAAAATTCAGATAAATGTTTTCTTTGAATTCGGAAAACAAATAAAATTAATCTTAGGCCCAGTGGAATAGTTACAGTGTTAATGATATATGTAATGTCGTGAAACGTAATACATTATTGTGGAATTTTGCTTTTCCTCTGCAGATGAACAAATTTTACCTTCACATCCAGTTGAGAAATTGCAAAATATTTCTTTGCAATTGCATGATTTTTGACATAAATATCCATATGCAGGATAGCGACATGGAATGTCACAGTAGGTACCCGTAAATCCAATTTCACAGTCTAAAAGTAGACGGTCAATATTGATTTAAAAAAACAAGCAATATCCAATCATTTTTCTGAAAAAAAATATGCGCAGTAGTTTTCATTAAAAAATATATATAGTTCAGTTATAGCACTCTGAAGCCATGTTCATGGTTGCAATCACCTTGAGAATAATTACAAATTTGTTGACATTTTTTTCCCAAAATATGGGTAAAAGCATGTGGAGGTACATTTTTTCTCATAATATCCATACCTACACGTAAAAACCAGTAAATAATAATAATTAAAAATAAATCTATAAATGCTCATGGGGAGCTTACTATATCTATAAACAACTATACAGTTTTAATTATTCATTTTTGATACCATTATTGTAATTTTCTTAAACGTATTAGTTATTCAACAATCAACGCATGTTTGATCGAAAACAACATTTGTTTAATATTTTAATCAACTTTTTTTTTTTGAAATACTCAAACCTTCAACTGAATTTAAAAAAAAAAAAAGACGAATTCTTATCTCAATGATATTATTTGAATATGAAAAGACTAAATGAATATTATAAATATCACAAACAAATCAGGACTAACACATTTAATCAATCTTGAAAACATACTTATACAGCTTTTAAGTTCCTGATTCCACACTAAACCATTACAACAGTCACTAAAAAAGAAGAATGATTATAACTATCTCATTTATCTGTTATTCAAGCTTATTTTAAAAAGGGGTTATTATACCATTACAAAGATTCAACACGTTGTCATCAATTAATTAAATAACTGGAAAGACAAATGTTTTCTTTTTTTAATAAATTAGCTAAGGTCAACTGAAATATTTACTTGTATTATTTCAATGCAGTCGTCACTTAGTTTTTTTGTTTTGTTTTTTTTGTTTTTTTTTTTTTCAATAATTTATGGATGTCCAGTTAACCTGCACTTAAACCTATAATTTCAAAGCAATATGAGCTGAAAATGTGATGTTAGAAATTTTTGTTGCAAAATTGTAATTAACTATTTCAAGGGCAGAGAAAAAGAACATTTATAAACTTCTGTTGTTCATATTTGCGATGGAAAAACTATTTATAAGTTTTGATTGAAGCAAAATTACATTATTGTCGCCCTGTACAATATTGATTTTTTATATAACACTTTAAATTTGATTGTACAGAAGCCTTTCTTCTGAAACATTTTAATACTTTTTTTTAGTCTTATTGAACATAAGGTTTAAATTACATACACATTTATCATAATAACACAACAAAATAAAATTTTCAAAAATGCAGCTCATATTGCTTTCACAATTTATACATCTGTAATGATCAAAAATATGCAGTGTATAATAGAAATGTGGTTATACAAGTATTTCTGTTTGCAAATGAAAAAAAAAATATACGTTTCAAATGAAATCATTCAAGATTTACTACTTTGAAAATGTATAACTCTTGCTATTAGAAGACAACCTTTTTGTAATATTTATATATTCAAATATTTGAATTAAGATACTGTACTTACTTTCCACAACTGTCTGTCTTGGTGAAGATTAACAGGAGTAATATTGTCAAAATGATGTCAATCCTACCGAACGAAATAATTAATATTTTTGTATACTTCGTTTTCATTTTTGTAAAGTTACCAAACCCTGAGGATCACGATCCCCTTATATTTAATACATGTTGAATTCAGATGATCTCCATCCGACACTTGTCAACAAGGAAGTTGCAGATATGTAGAAAAAATCAAAATCCATTTTTCAAGAGTGAACGAATACTGCCAAATTTTTAATGGGGAAGTATTACGAAAAACTTAGAACGATTAAAACTATAAAGTTCAAATATCCGCTTTAAACGACACTTGAAAGTAAGTGTAACAAATGTTGTTGTTCACACCTGTTGATATTGTCTGTAAACGCGTTGGATTAAAAATGCTTCTTCCCTTTTTATGAAACGTTAGATAAATTGTACACGAAAAAAGATTGTTTATTTTTATTGATGGGAAGAAGGACCCTTAGCTGCAAATAAATTTGAAAGCTTTTTTTTTTAAATTTCTGAAATAAATTTGAAAGCTTTGTACACACTGAAGCCGCAATATTGGATTCCAAAGGAGTAATAAATAATTTCTGAGATTTATATGCACACAACCTTAAATTCATGAAAGGCGGATAAGTTCAGAAAATACATGTGATTAGACAATTAAAAAATTAAGAATTAAATATTAAAATTTTATCTTTTAGAAATTCTTTTGGTGTATCAGACACTATGAAATTGTTGTAAACTATAAACCATCAAATTTTCAAAATATTTTTGGAAGATTTCATCTGAGTAATAACATCATACATCAAAAGTTTATTTATATATTTTTTATTTTAATTTTATCATTTAATGATAAAAATTGAGCATTTGAATGCACTTTAACACAATTTTTTAGCATGAGCTGACCTTGCCCAATAAACTGTGGATGTACAGTAAAAAAACTGGAAGCGAGTGCTACAATACATTAAAAGTACCATTTTTCAATTGTGAAATATTCCTATCCTAGAAATTAAGTCTTTTTATACCAGATTCACAAAACCACATTTTAAATGCATCGAGGTCCGTGTTATCTACCTTTTCACGATTTGTATTTTTTAATAGATTTATGAGATTGATCACTTTATGTTATGTTAACCTTTTATATGAACTTATGACTTTTCTGGCTCTATGGTTAAGGTACGGATTTACTGAACAAAGTGATAGTAACACTTTTTATTTGTAAGGTTCAATCTCGCTTATTGTAAATACATTTATCCTTTAGTTGTAATTCCAATAAAATTCTCTAACGAATATTTGCCAGACATGTAAGGATTAATTAGACATGATTTATTATTCTAAATAGCATTCGTTCACAAATTATAATCCTTAACAGTTTTTTTTATGACAGCTCTGAATCATTATTTTATGGCTTTTTGCAACGAGTGAACAGAAATTTAATTTTTCGAAGATACATGTATATTGCCGGGTTCAACAAATGCTCTAGCAAACCTCACCTCACAAAATATGAACAGCTGTAAAGGAGAAGCTTAAGGCTTGCTGTGCTACTGCATATTCTAGAAGTGATAAAAATCAGATGTGGATTCTAATAACTTTTAGAAAATTCAAAATCACCATTTTTTTCAAAAGTCAGTAACATTAAAACATACTACTTTTCTACACTTTATACAAGCATTCCTCGTGATAAATTAAAATCTATGCTTTTTAATATCATAGACAACTGCTTCTTTAATAAAATGTTACTCGGAAATTTTAATTATCTTTTGATTGGTCATCAATAGAATTACTTTGCTAAAATCACTCTGATTCTAACACAAGTAGTCTGAAGTTGATTCAAAAGGATGTTGGAGTTTCTCATTGACAACACTGATGTTTTCGGAGACCAGGTCTTCCAAAAACTCTTGAAATTTCGATGGGCAATAAGTGTCCTTTATCAGCCCACTTGCTATTATATTCCTAGGAAGCAGAATTTATTTTTAAAAAACTTCAAAATGAAAAGAAAATGCTTGCACTTGCTGTAGCCTTCAACTTGACATTTTATTAATTAACAATAGTTACTTCCATTCATATATCGACTCGATATATCCCAGTGAACTCGAAAAACGACACTATAGATTCTGCAACATCTGTTCATATTTGGATGTTTTACTGACTATAGACTATAAGGGCCAACTAATAACTATATTGTATGACAAACGAGATGACTTTAGCTTTTCCATCGTCAACTTTCCTTGTGTTTGTTGTAATATTCCGCCTTCACCTGTATACGGGGTTTACGTCTCTAAATTTATTCGATACTCAAGAGCATGTTCTGAGCACGATCAATTTTAAACCGGGTAGGTTACTGTCAAGTAAGTTGATGTTACAGGGATTTCAACAACCTTCTTTAAAGTCAGTATTTCATAAATTCTAGGTGGTTATAAAGACCTTGTTATCAAATATGATTTATCATTTGTCCTATTCTGGCTGAAATTTTTCAATCAGTTGTTAGGCCTTTGTTTATACTAATTTTGTCATCGGAATGCTCGATCTACCAGATCAGTTCTAAGGGCTCAGTACGAGTGTTACCTTCAACAGGGTATGCTTACCCCGCCTAGCCACCTGATACCACCTCTGCAATTTCCAAGGATCTGTGCTTTATGCCCTGTTTACAGATTTGTATTATTTGTATGTTTTTTCTTAGAATTTCGGTCACTCTTCGTTTTCATTGTAAGAAATTTAAATTGAGAATTTGATCGCATTTTTTGTCATAGCTTGTTTCTTTGAGTTTAATTTGATATAATACACGTAATTTTTTTTCTCGTGAAAAGGTCTCATCCTTGAAAAAGGTTTTAAGTATTTAGATGTCTCTTATTCTATTCCATCGAAAGCTTATTGATATAGAAGAAATAAATTTATCATAGCTTTTACCAATCAAAAGATAGCATAGAAAGACCTTTATAAAAAAAAATTGATCTTTGATATCGAATTTTGCGAATTCAGAGAGGCGATTTTAGTTTATTGTATAATAAATATAAAAAAAAAAGTTTTTTTTATTTAATGTAAAATCGAAGTTGCCTCCAATGTACATGTCTTAGGAGAAATTTACCGTCTGGGAATTTTTAAAGAACCTTCTCAGAATACATAACATTTACCACAGGGTGATATAGAGAAGAGTTATTTGTTGCTCTTGAGGTGAATTATAATAATACTTCAAAAGATCTTTCTCTCAAATTGCAATTTTAAATAAATAATACATAACTATATTGTGCATTATATGTAAGAAACAAAATAATACCGTCAAAATAAAGTCTTCCAGCTGCAGCATACGCCAAAGCCAGTAAAACATTTCACTGACAATTTTATAAAATGATAGACAAACGAGATATTTGGACATCATATCAGATTGTAAGATGATATATAAGATCAGAACAGTTAGTGGCTGACATGATTAAATAAATCGCAGAAAGAAAAGACTCAATTCTACTGATTATACTAAAATAGTCCGACCTCTCATTAGAATATCCAAAGTAAATGAGATATGAGGACAAAACCTGTACATAAAAATAATACAGTTTTTATGCATTGACAAAATGTCAATTTAAGATGCGTTAGTCTGCAATAAATCCTTATGATAAAAAATGTTTACCTCTGTGATTATATCAAAAGCCCGACGTCGCAGAAGGATTTTCATTTAACAAACCTCAAACATTATAGGTAATAACAAAACTCATAGAGGAAGCTTACATAATACAGTATGATTTCTCAACAGCGTCAGTTTCCTAGTTCTAGACACCATGATTTATACAGGGATAAGGTTCTCAAATATCAAGTTTAGGATATCTGTTGAATGTCAAGCTTATCAACAGCTTTCAGTACCAGCAATTGCAAATGCCTTCTTTATAAAGCTCTGATTTAGCAACAATGTGACAGACTTAAGTGCAATGCAAATTACATATGTTTTACTGCAAACAACTAGTAGGGTTCACACATGTAAAAATTTACAAATCGATGCAGTAAAACGTGCTTTCGGCATTATAATGAAGGATTTGTGCATCTCATTTTATAACTCAGGTGTCCGTTTTGATTTTATAATGCTGCGGATGCTTCTTAATATTTTTTAAAGGTGGAAAAAAGTAAAACCGGGGAAAATGTTTCGAAAAAAAAAGAATTCATGCATAAACTCGTTCATGTGGTTTTAAAGTTTTATGTGCCTTCTTTAATAAAAGTGACTTCAGAATTTTCCTATCTTCTGATTGGTCAACTACAAAATAGCTTTGTTAAAAATCCTTCTGATTCTACAGAGAAGTGCTCTGAAGTTGATTGTAATACACAAAATCTCCAAGAGGAATATTTTATTGCACCAAAAATATTCTAGAATAAGAGTAATTCACGATCACTTCTCAAAGTTCGCTATCGTTCGACACTTTGGGCTCAGTCACAACCCATCAGATAGCGCTAAGATAGTAAAGCGGATTGTAAAAATTCCATCCCTTTAGAGAGAGAGCACTTAGAGTTTTTCACTTACGCATGATAGAAAAGACTCTTTTAATAACTGTCATATGAGAAAGAAAAATCCTTCTCAGAAAGTTCTAACAATCCGATTAAAATTCTCTGAAAAAATATTAGCATGATACATGTACTATAGGTTAAGCATTAATAAGTAGAATATCACCTTTTCGTGATACTCAGGCATTTGATTATTCTTTGAAAGATTATAAAAGTTGAACATTTCAAATTGGAACCCATTTATGTGATTATGTTTTTTGAGACCCAAGCCTACCAAAAAAGTAAGTACATGTATATCTAATGAAGGTTATTTGTTAGAAGTATTTTTCTGGAAAAATTACTTTTAGATATCTATCTGATTTTTTAAGAAATTTTTTTTTTCTCCATGTTTGATAAGAATTGAATATGAAATTTCTCTTAGAACTTGGCATTTTAATATTCTGTATCTTCATAATTGAAAAATATTTGCTAAATTAACATTAGATTTGAAGATTGGATACCATCTCTTGCCTGAACTATTGTAAACGTTAAGCAGTGAATAAACATAAATCTAAAATGTCAAAATCAATATATAATGACAAGTATGCAACCAGTTGTTTTTGGTC